AGCTAACAACTGTTGCCTATATAATTTACTGCCGAAACATATTACGACCTTACCTTCGATGGCGATAATTATTTTCGGTCTTCGCCGCGCTTCCCACCGATGTAAACGTAGTGATGGTCAACTGAAAAATCGGAAAAGGTAGAATCGAGAAGCCCCGAAACCGTATTTGAAATTGCCACGTTGAATGGATCGATTCTGCCGGTAGGATTTTCCGACGATATCGTCCGTCGAATTGTTGTTAGAAGCAATGAGTCAACGAAGTATCTTCAAAAAGGTCGATATCGATTGTAGTACAGCACGGACCTAACATTTGTTTCGGTATCACGTCAAACAGACCGGCTTCATGAATGAGAACCAACGACTTTAATGTCAACTAGTGTCATACGATTAGTCTAATGAAGGCACAATTCAGCAAGCCAAAAAGATGTTGGATGTTTTTTGATGGTCAAGTTGGTCTCTAGGCATTAGAATTTCTTCAAGCGTTAACGGGGTACTATGGTTGTATTGTACCCTGACGAAACGAGGCTGCTATTGGGGTCGCAATATCACCGATTGATGTTCGGAGTTCTAGCAAACTGGCGTACCGACACTGAAACGAGCGTTTCGTCGTGTGTGCGCATCGACGTTTTTTATAATTACAAAATGAAACACAGAGAAAGGTACCAGCAAAAACAGCCATATATATATATATATATATATGAGGGAGAAAAATGGAGAGTGTGTGTATGTATGTATGAGAAGTATGAAAGTTAAGGACATTAAATAACCGAGGCCGTTCTTCAGCAATATCGATCGACATCCGCTGACTATCTCGTTGCTTAGTTAAAAATGACAATGCTGGGGAATACCAGAAAGTTGAGTTTCCGGAAGTTATATATGCATTGGTACCGGATTTGTCTGGTGTCGTATGGCGGCGGTACACACTTGCATCGCTAAGATGAGCACGGCAGAAAGGCGCGCAAGGGGGACAGTGGGGGAATACCGACATAGCTGATTCGCTGAGTTGGCAGACGATGCGTATTTTTCGGGCGGATGTCGGCGTTAGAGGGGCGTCTGCGCCTAATGCACGTGGAAAGCTTCCGTCAAAGAGGTCCAAGTGCTTCATACAGGCGATTAGGACACAGTGTTAGTTTTGCCCACTATTAACAACGGTCGGATCGATCTCACTGACTGGTTCGGCTTTCCTTGTTGTCCTTAACTGCCACATTCAAAAATGTCAATTGTAACAACAGTTTTAACCGACTCGCCGTTAGAATCAATTTAGATGGTGTAACTGTTCGAGCTTTTTCTTGTAACTTCGCATGATAACGCTTAACGCGAGATGCATCAGCTGATGGAAATCGCGTGCAGAAGGCGAGCATCAAAGGTGTCCCTTGTTGTATATCCTGATCGAGTGCTGAATGTCTGTGAAAACACTTGATGTTGAACCACTAAAGTTGACTTATCCGTATGCTACTAATGGCTACTATTATTATATGATGAAAACTTGCATCATAGTAGGTTCCAGGACATAAGGACAACGGCAGCTAGCCTATGGGTTCGAGGGGTCGGGCTGGAAATAGAAGTGATGGCCGCGTCAAGTATCGATCGGCGACAGATATCAAAGGGCCGCTTGTAAACAAAGGACAAATATGTCCGGGCTTGAATGAACTCAAAGTGCGAAATTGCCGGCATTTTACCTAATCAAGTCCGCGACAGAAATACGTTGCTGCAGTTCCTGCGCATGAGTCTATGGGCGTGCACAAAGGACATTCAATAACACCACTACCACCTTTAGCGCATATACATTATTCATTATTTATGCGATATTTCTTTATTGAAACGCATGTTCTGGTTGGTACACCCCACTTGTAGATTGCGGGCGGGTATTATTTAGTACGTATGTTAATGGGTGTTCACTGTTCAACAACATAGTTAGGCACCGGCAAATGCAAAACAGGCATAACAAGCCGTGTTCTCCATTTGGGCAACCTCGAAAGTTTCCGCAAACGTGATCTGCTATTTTGACCTAAAGCGTTGACGGGCGGTCCTGCAAGTGATAATGAATTCATGCAAACCGAGCTCGTACGACGTAGCACAGTAGTGACTTCTAGCATTTGGGTTTATCTTCATTAAGTATTTTATATTCTTTGGGGGCTTGGGCTTCTGTCGAGGCGGAGTATGATGGTCAAGTACGGAGCGTACATTCCATTGAGAGAGAACGCTATCTATTGAAGGCAGTCGTCACTTTTACTTAATAGTTTATTGCCTGAGTTAGCAACACTGGCTAATGTTAATTCGTTTCCACTGCATTTTGGCGTACACTTTCATCGATTTCGCTATGCTGAGAATATCGCGAGAAGGGGGAGAAAGACACACCTATATTGATTTTTTTTCAATAGCTTTCGGTATTTAATCTGAGCAGAGTCGTTGTAGCTTTCGGTTAGTGTTTTGTCCCAGTTTCGTAGAAGTAGAGAAAGCGGAACGCGTAATTACGTGCACGTCAGTGCCCCGCTATGGGAAACTTAGTGGTCTCTTGATGAGCATCAACGTTTTTCGCTAATTGAGATCCAGAAAATAACCATGATACGAGTCATCAGTCTTCGCTTCACTTAGTATATATCTTCTGCTCTAACAACGTTTACGCCAACGGTGCTGGCAGGTCATAATGATGTTGAAGTTCCTTTGTCGTTTTTTGCTGTAGTTGTGATAATGGGAATTCATCCTAAAACCGTCCTTGAAATGTGGAGATCTTAGACAGGAGAGACTCATAAGGAAGCAAGCGACATAAAGTGTGACTCAGGCAGAAGGGGCAAAAGAAGGCCTTTACATAAACGGTACTGTTTCCTCCAAAGCACGAAAAGGCACAGTGTATAGGTAAAAGGGCGTAATGCTAGTCGATGACATGTCGATGCTCTCTGCATCAAGCTGTATTTGTTCTTTAAGTGAATGCAAGGCGAACGCGCAGGACGGCAAGGATCTGAGCGTTCGGCATATAAACTGAAATTAATTAAACATTATAGAGGAACAATAAGATCCTATGAAATAAACTATATCAAATCATCGTTGTTCTCACATAAACGAGGGATCAAGCCGAGTGCGATGCAGAACTAGCACGAGTAGTCTTATTCGTTGCCTATCCCGGCGTTCAGGCGATCAGCTGAACGATTTTTATTATTTGTAGAGCATGTAAAACGATATGATCGTTTAACACAGTCTCCTCTCTCAATTTTTAGTTTCATTCAACTCGTGTTTTTACATATTTTGTTTATAAATAGTCAACATATTGTAGTTTCAATTTGCGGTATGTATTTTGCTATTATACTGCATGTTACTTTGGGAGCGCCGCGGTGAAGGCGGACGACTAAGCAAAAAAGTAAGCGAACGATGCAAGGATAGGCGTGAGAAGGATTCATTTCAAAGCGCAATATTTTGCTCAACCGGAGTTCTTACAACTAGTCGAGCCCACATATATATATATGCGAGATGAACTAATTGAGATATCTATATATATATATATATTCGTTTTTGGTGAGCTAGATACAAATAAGTCATTTATTAATGTAATGAGAACGGGTCGCATTTACCAACGTTGACGACGAGCACAGCTGCTGAGTTGTCAGCAATGGATTGATTATCTTTGGTGACATCAACGGTAACGGCATTTGACGTCAGATATGGCTCTGCACAGTTATCCCAACAAAAATTTCGGGACGTGTCAGGACACCATCAGGAGAAGGAGCTATTGCTAGTCATTTTCTTGTTGTCGTCTGTAAAAAAGTAACGAAAGCCCTGTGTTCCATTTTTTGCTCTGCATCATCTGGACTGGTCGATTGACGAAAAAGTCACTGCAAGTGTAAAACGTATCTGCAGTTGGACGGTGCTGTCTTTGTTGATATTGATCATTGTTGCTATTGTGCTGATAACAACTTCTCACCCGCCATTGGGAGCTGTTTTAAAGAAGGCTACCTAACATTATGTTAGTAATACTGCTAAGGTGTCTTGGACATTTCTCTAATTCTTCTGTAGACGTTCTGTTTGCGATAGTTAACGGGCTAAGTAAGTGTCGACACGTGTACAGGGCGGGACCTATATGTTTATGAATATTTGTATTCGGATCGCATTATTAGGTTGTTAGTTTTTTGTTTTTGTCTGTTTTATTCAGATCCGTCCAGGCATGGGGGCAATAATAACACGTAACATTAATTATACTTAAATAAACAAGGATATTTAAATCATACACGCGAGCCTATATATA